AAATATATATTCCCTAATGTTAACATAATACAAATTATGTTATGTTTAAAAATAATATTCAATTTTTGAGAACTTAATTAAATATAAATTCTTATTTTAAAACTTCATTGATTGTGAGATATTTTTTTTCAATAATTATTCCCTCTTCACTAAATTATAGTCCTTCATTTTCACCCAGTTCGCATTTTTAATTATATTTTGCATAATTGTTTTTCACATATTTAAATTTGCAAATATTTGTGAATTTTATATTAAATATTGGAAGAATCAGGTTCCTTATTGGGAATTCTATTCAATCAATCAATACATGATATCAAATTATGGAGTACATTTCAAGCGTTTGAGATCGAGATTGAGCGCGGACGGCGTGTATTATTCGCATGTCATAATTCCGACGCCGAAACAAAGAACAATAGCTGTTCGATAATGGGCCTTTTTGGACGTATATAATAGTTTTCCGCGACCAAGGTATCGAATATAAATTTGAGAGCGAGGATACGCACCTGCCACCCGAGAGAGCTCTCGAATTTATAGTATGCACGTCGGTGTGTTTCGAAGCCATTAAGACTTTTATTGGCCATTACCAACAAGATCCTAACATTTATTTTAATATGATAAAAGCAGCCAGCAGCAGCCGAGCCATCCCATCACTTGCAGAGCTGCTGCTGATATCGCGTCGCCGCGCGTTAAGTGGATCACCTAAATTTTCACACTAATTGCAATAAAAATAACGCAAGCCAGGGGAAAAGGGAAGCTGCTGGCTGCGGATAAATTCTTGTTGAATAATTAATTAGTCAACTTTGAGTGAGGGAACGACCGACGCCGAGAGAAGGTGATGATTGCCTTACAAATCATCTCAGGTGTACAAGTTTTGAAAAATTAGTTTTTCTTCGAATGAAAATTTTACTTTTTTTTCTTTGAAAAACGAGATCGAAAAGAAATGTATTTTTTTTTTCTTCAAATTATAATGAAAATTTAAATAAAAGCCGTATTTCAAATTCCTATACCGATAAATAACTATTATACTCCTTTTCCTGCTCTGCCTGCCGCAAGAATCAAATTTCAATAATTTATCGATCGATCTCTGCCAGCAACTTTGTTGGTTTTGCGGCGCAGGTGCGGTGGAACCTGGTTTGCAGCTCTTCCTTTATTTTGCAACTTTTTTGCAATTGAACTGGAAAATAGTCCAACACATGCCATGATAAGGAATACCAAATTTAATGAGTCAGACGCCGATCAGTTGGATAACACAAAACAGGCAAGCGCCCGCTTTTCCCTTCGATGCACGCATCAATAAAAATACCCACAGCCGTCTTTCAAAGCTCGTAAATCCTCTCAAGCTTGGGGAAAATTTGAGAGAATATAAGTCCTTCTAGAAAACCATTTTTTAATCAGATAGTATACAGCTTTTGTAAAAGTTTTTGCATTTAAATAAATTTTGGAAAATTATTGGGACTACAGAAGGACGAAAGAAACGCCAAAAGTATTAAATTTAGAATCATAAAATTGCTAACTTCAATAATAATTTGTATTATTTAATATTGCTTACTTCTAAACTAATAAAACTTATTAATATTTTTACTAGATTCTACTTATCTAATATTTTATATTTTATTTATTAATATAAACAATTTTTATTTTTTATTCAATTAAATTAAAAAATATTATGTATTAATAATTTTTTTTCTCTTTTCAATTTTAAATTGCAAAATTTTTCCTCACTGCAGAACTTGTATTAAAATATTAATCAACTTGCGTTTTCTCTACATATTTAAAGTTTGTGTACCTGTCATGAACATGATTACAGATGGATCGAAAATGAATAATGTTAAGTGAAATTGACCTGGAGTTGCATATAATATTGATAAATCTATGATTCAAAACGGTTCTGGCAAAGTGCTGTGAATTTGTCAGTGTGTCTCTTAAAACTCCTCAACGTAGGGCTAGACATTCAGTTCTAATTTTCTGCTGGCCACACGCGACCCGCTCTCTGTCAAAGCATCTTTTGAAAAATGTGTCGCAGCCAAAAGTCAAAGGGAGAGGAAAGACGGGCGAAGGATGCGCCACCAGAACTGCTGCTGGGGAAAGAAAATTAATAAAAATTATAGCGCCCAACTTTTAATGGCGTGAGTGGTTGCGGCAGGAAATAAATTGTGACGCTGCTCGTAAAACACTATAACTTTGAAAATAGTATACTCTACCAAACTTTTGGCGCCTTCTGACGTGTATGTTTTTTATATAAATTTTTATTTATTACCAGCAACAACGGAAGGGATGTTTCAAAAGAGAGATCACAAACACAACTCGTGATGCGTAAAAATGCTTCAAATTTATTTTTAAAAGATAAAACGAAAATTAAGGACTCCTTATTAATACGGTATAGTCAAATTAAGTCTTTGCAAAATAAAAATATTGTGTGAATTAATTTGAAATTTTAACCACTATAATATTATAGTAAAGATTTGATTTCGCAGTGAAAATAAGAAGAAAAATAATTCGAAGCTATGCAACCAGCTTTAGAAGTTTGATTTAACGGTTGCATAATTTTTATTCTGAAAACCACAATTTTGATGAAAAGAAAAAAACTCTTAATAAAGCATTATCCTTTATTTAAAAATAAAATAAATATGGCTGAAAGGGCGTTTAACCGCAAAATAAAAAATATTCTAACGAGTTGGCAATTTATTAGACATTACCACGGGCATTATTTAAAACACACGCCCAGGTTTTGTGTATATCGGCGTCAATTATAGCTCGTACACCCTCTGTCGCTTTCGGTCATGCGAGCCGAGCCAAAGCGCCTTATCAGTCAAAGTGAATAGTGGAGTGTCGCGAATGTCGTAATTTTTCTTGTCGGCCGAGCTCGGGACCGCCTTTGTTTGTCGCTCTTCCCGCTGCGCGTGCACGCGGGTCTCATGCATATTTTTTTTAGTGTTTTTTTCCTTTGCCGGAGAACGAAATTGGAAAGAAAAACAAACTTCTGATTCGGAAATGAGGCGCTCAGGAAGTTTTGAGAGATGATTTACTTTTCCCCGCGGTTTGGCCGCGTGATTTGTGCGCATTTTATATTTTAGACGTGTGTTATTTTAAGAGAATTGCCGCGCGCGGCTGTCCAATAAGTTGAAGCGCCTTTGTTTTAAAAGGTTTCATGCTCGTAAAATAAACAGCACGCGGCTCAAGACGCTTGTGCTCGGGGCTTCCCTCCGAATAACATTAAGGAAATTTATTATTTCATTGGTTTCAATACATAACTTAGGGGGGATATATGCCTTCATACAAATTCAATGCACCGGCGTCGGTGGCACGCAAGTCGAGCAGCCAAATAAATTTAAATGAGTCTTGGTCCAAATAGTTTGTAATGAGACAGACGCTCCGTTTTAATAATTAATTAACCCATCCTTTGTAGATAACAAACTCTCTGATCTCTGATTTAGAATTGATTTTTCTCAAGAGTTATCTTAATTATTTTTAATATTGATCTCAAACTAAATTCGTCAATTTAAAAACAAACTTTAGGCAGGCTAAAGCAAATTAACTTTTGATTGTTCCTAAACTATAAATATTATTATATAAATATGTAAAATTTTATTAAGTTTCAGAGGGAAAAGCAGGGAAGTGAAAAAATGATTGATTTTGAATATTAATTATAAGTTTATAATAATTAATAATTATACTTTTCCTTTGTGACTAACAGACTCACTGATTTAGAACTAAATTTCCTGAAAAGGATTTTTTTTAAATATATATTTAATCTCAAAATAATTTCAAAACAATTCAACCAAATATATTAATTTTTTCAATATCATCAATCTTAAAATAATTTTTCTTAAAAAGGGAATAAGTTTGTCTTAAAATAATACAAACCATCTGACGTTCCTGTCAACTCCCTCTTTTCTCATTTGATATTTATAATTTACCAGTTCCGTTTTCGTTTTCCTCTTCGGTCTGCTGCAGCTTTCTCTCTCTAAATATTTTTCCAAAGCGAGAATCGAGCAAGGAGGCGCCTAACTTAATTAGTATCAGCAGCCATCCGCGTAAAACTAGGGATGCTGCTCGGCTGCAGTAATTTGGATTTACGGCTTCCACTGTCGCTCCGCTGCTGCCGCCGGCCGGGGGTTGCTGCCTCATCCCCTATCTCTGTCGCTGGGTGGTGGTGGTAGCGCCGTCGCTGCTGCGCTGTTGATTAGATTCGCTCTGCCTGTGCTTTAATATGCATGAAAATTGCTGCCGCTGCGTCCAACCCTGAGGATGACTAATGCGATTGCACGCACCCTTTTACGCTTCTAATTAATTGCACCGCTTTTGAATAACTGTCACGCAGAGTTCAATCATCGTAAATCTCCAACTGGTTAAATAAGTTATTCTATTAAAATTATTAATTTTCAGCGTAAAGGTTTAACAAGTCAATTTAAGTTATTTAATCCACTGCAGCATCATTGAAGTTAAATTAGTATTATTTATATCTTGCTTTTATAATTAATATTACTTAACATTTTTATAAAAGTCAAATTTTTTGTGTGATAAACAGCATATTTTGTTCATTTTAAAAATTAATTATTTATAACTTTTATTTTTAAATGTTTGTTTTATAATATAATTTATATAATTTACATTTTTAAAATTAGCTTTAATTTTGTGGTTTTTATATTTTTGTGTTTATTTGAAAACAATAACAAATTTACTTATAATTCAAACTACAAAGAAGAGAATATTATCCCACTTAACAATAGATTTGCATCCCAGCGTTTTCTAGTGAATTATTAATGTTTGATATAAACAATAAAGAACAAGTGCTTAAATAATGAATATTGAAAGTTGTTAACTCAAGGAAATGCCATTTGGCTATATCTAGAATTTTCAAATATTTTCTTTTATTAAATATACGCGCCTTCATTGCACATAATTATACGCATTTTCCTTTAGAGCTAAAGAAAAATTAACGCGTAAAAGAAACATGAAATGTTTGAGCCTCTTTAATATAAAATAAACTAAGATTTAGGTACATTTTTCCTGTTGGCTTTGATCTTATATACGATTTTGGAAAAAGAGCTCGGGGCGAGGCTCGATAACAGAAGTGGGCAAGCGGCGACGGCGCGCCCGCAGATATTGAACGCGCGCAGCGGCTACAAAAATACCGCAGAATTTTCACATCTCGCACGCAACTCTTTAAACAAACTTTTGGCAGGCCAAACAAATATTGAAAACTTTTTAATTGCTCCTAAACCAAATATCCTAATATTAATTTATATATTAAAATATTAATTATAATATAAAATATTTAGTTTTATGGGGAAAAGTGGAGTTAAAAATATTTTATTTTTAATTCAAGTCATGACTCTCGTCACTCTGTTTTATTTTTCACCAAGAGAAACAACTGCGCGATAACTTGTCACAAAGAAAATTAATAATTAAATCAGTCGCTATTTTTCCATATTTTTAAAACGTTTTCTCGTCGTTTTATTTACTAATATATTTATTATTATACAAAAAGAGTTATAAGGAAAGATCACAAAATGCTCTAAAACGACTTTTTTCTCGGCATCTTTTCAATAACGTTTTCTAACGAGTTTTAATTAATTCTATCATTAGGCTCTACTTTACCTCATTCGAGAGACTCGCACTTAAACATCCGCGCGCACTTTTATATGTATAACACGTCATTCACACAAACGTATGTATAAATTCACAAAAAAAGTATAATTATCCACCTGCGGCAATCACACTTCTTTTCTCGGAGACTAAATTAAAACTGCAGAAAAGCTACTTTGTCCAGAGAGTTTGTGTAAAAATTCACAGTTTTTCGAGGGAGCGCGAGTTGGTGAGGAGCTCGCGGGTGAGTCGCCACGCCTGCTTGGCGGCGTTCTCGAGCGACGACGGCGACTTGCCCTTGAAGAGGTCGAGGTTGGGCAGGAAGTAGTGCGGACAGCGACGGCATTGCAGACACGAGATGAGCTGCAGGAAGATGCCGTTGATGCGGTCGCCGAGACAAGACTCGTCCCACTCGATTTCGCGCGGGTGCTTCTCGCACTCGTACAGCAGCAGCGTCTTCATGTGGTACGAGGTGACAGGGTTGCCGGGCAGGTCGAGGTGCCGGTCCCTCAGGGTCTTCAGGGTGCTCAAGCACTTGCGGCGACACCCGCCCTGCAGCAGCCGATTCTCGGCCTCGGTGAAACTCAACACCCACGCGTCGCCCTCCATGGCCGACTGCTTGCCCTGCATGGCCACGCACTCCTTGGACAAGAGGTCGAAGCCCTCCGTCTTGACCTCGGCCACAAGATTCGGGTGCGGCCACGGGATGTGCGGAATGGGCCAGTGGGCCGCGCTCCGCGGCCAAACCCCGGAACATTTGAACGCCGGCGTGATCTGCACGATGTAGCGCTCCCTGATGCGCAGCTTGACCTCGGTGGTGTCCGCGATCATCTTGACCGAATCGCGGTAGCTGCACTTGTCGCACGCCTGCGCCACCAGCGTCTGGAAGCGCGACCTGATCTTGCGCGCCGAAAGGTAGCCGGACGCGGTGATGAACTCGACCCAGAGGGACATGGAGCGTTTGCGGCCGTCGCTGAGTTTGAGGACGGCGCACCCCGGCAGGGTGCCGTCGTCCACGAAGTTGAACACGCCCATCTGGTTGAGGTAGAGGACGACCTCGAACTCGTTGGGCGAGACGACGTCCATGCCCTCGTAGCGCCCGTTGCACTCGGTCAGACTGCTGATGAAGCGCGGCTCCTGCACCTCGACCTCCTTAAGCACGTCCTGCACCACTTTGCACACCTCGCGGATCGTCTTGGCCACGAGCGCCTTGCGGGCGTGCACCCGCTCGCCGTAGTACTTGTTCAGTTGGTACAGCATCTTTGACTGCGCCGCCATCATGTCCGGGGGCACCAGCATCCTCGCGTCCGCAGACTTGTCGCTCTGCTGCCGGCCCGAACTCGAGTGAGCGCGCTCGGTGAAGAAAAAGGGTCTCGCCGCAGCCACCGGCCTCCGCTGACGTCATAGACGGCCATTGGCAGAGCCAGACTCCGCCTCGCGCAGACCCGGTCGATATACCCGCCGCCGCCGCAGCTCGGCCTCGCGGGGCCGCTCCGCCTCCCGCGCGATTCGCGACTCTCGCTGCTGCACAGTCAATCTCGGTGCTTTATGGCACCCTTTGGCGCCCACAAGACTTTTGCTGCTGCGGTTTCCTTTCTTGGGCACTGCTGCTCAAACTCTAAATCAATTACCTACGTCTAATGCAAATCGGCTTAATTAAGTTTGAAATTGTTACCATTCTTCATACTAATGAGCAAATAATATAAGTTGCAAGGTTACTTTACTGATACACAGTGATATAGCATCGGTCAATTTCTGCCCTAATCCATCATTCATACTTTCATATGTTTGAAAAGTGTTCATTTCATAAATTATGCAAAAGACATGGAAGCAATCTTTTAAAAAGTTAGTAATTATTTTTAACATCAGTAACATTTAATTTAAATAAAAATACCAAAAAGGGATCTTTAAGAAAAAGGATTTAAAAGCTTCGCCCCCTGCTAGAGGGTGCTTTAATTTGTTTCAATAAAAAAATATTATATAGGAAGATATAAAATCTTTGCTCGATATTATGTTCCCCTTAAAATTTATGATTATTTTCTGAATGCTGCCCGTAAAGCATTTAATAATTCTCATATAAATGTTGAAGTTGAAATCAATGCATTGTTATCTTTTTTTAATGAAACTGTATATTTTTCTATAAGGATAAATTTAGTAAACAAAAATTTTAACTACTGTACTAAATTACACTCTTGGTATAATCCAGCCTTTTATGATGTAATAATTAAAATTGAAGGTAAATATTGAACTTTTAAAATTACTATTTTTCTAATTTATAGCCATATCCGCAGTCCAGTGAATATGTTATATTTTTTTTAAAGAAATATATTTCATAAAAGATCGATAAAAACGCAACTTAAAACGTGTAATTGAAATCACGCCATTCCAAAACGTATAAGAATCATGCAATTACATGATGTTTCTCTCTCCTCCTCAAGATTGCAGCCCGTTTTTTTCTTGTCCAACGATTAATAATGAAAAGCTGCGCATTGCAGCATAAACGATACGTCTTGAGTGCACATCACACAATAGCACATACAAATAATACGCCGCGTGCATGCGTTCCTTTTTCCTCTCATGAGCTCCGGCAGCGTTTTCTATACCGATATGTACAAAGAGGCTGTCAAGTATGCCCTTTTATTACTCACTTTGACGAACAAAGAATCTAACCGTGTACCATTGGATTAAATCCCAGGCGAGCAACAGCGACTATAAAAGGGGAGTGTATAAAGGAACCCTTTCTTATTCCTAAAAATGGCTATAGAGAATTCATATATACCATTCACGAATGCAGAAAAAGGAGAAGTTTGTGTATTGTAGCAACTTATAATATTGCGCTCAGCATTTTAATAGTGCGGCAAATCAAAATTTTTATGAGAAACAATTCAATAAACCAGTGTTTAAAATTGAAAGGAAAATCTTTTAACGCAGAAAAATTTTTATTCAGTCACAAATTTCAAATTTTCCATTTACCTTTCACTGTACAAATTTTTTATATATATTAAATTAAAAATTGTTTTATTTAAATTACAAATGTGTGATCTTATTATGATTTTTATTATTTTTCACTTTAAAACTCAGAAACCGTTATTTAACAGTTCAGCATGCCTATAAATGTAAATGAAATAATATAACTATACAATGATGTACAAAATGATCGGTATTGTACTACAGAATTGAATTAATTTTAATAAGGGCAAGAAATGAGACGCTATACTCCCCGCGTTATATTTTGTGCAAAATACACACTCGCGCATAATATGTTCTTAATTTGATTACTTTAACAGATTTAAAAATGTAACGATTCCCTTGGATTCCCTTAAAATATTGATTTGAAAAAATTGTTCAACCGTGTAACAAAAAGTTACTGATGTTGCAAGAATAACTTAGGAAAAAACTTAATATGTTTAAGCATTTAAAATAAATTTTTAGAAAAATTCAGACCATTTTAAATACTTTTAAATAAATAATACTGTTTGAACGCTTTTAAATATTATTTTATATTATTCATTGAGTAATTTTTGTGAACTATGATTTTGTTTTCATATATTTCTTTAATTCCTTTTATAATTTTGATATAAAGTAACAATAAATTTTGTTTATTGAAATGGAAGCTACAATATTAGGTAGTCATTGCATGAGAAGTGCTATCTACATTTTGGAATCAGGAAGATCTCATTGTGTTAAGGATAAATTCACATTGCAATCTAAAAAATAATAATGAAATTGAAATTAATGTTATCTTACAACAAAAGATATTACAAAAGTGCGGTTTTGTAATTTTTATTTAATATAGTTGATACTTATTTCCACAAACGCATACCATAATACTATTGGTCATCATTCACTTTTCTATTGCAGGTTGAAATTCTAGTTAATAGGAAAAAATTGTGATAGATGTCCTGTACGATAGGTGAAAATAATATTATTTTAATTCACATGTGAAGTGTATAAAGGTCAGTGTACAGTGCTGCAGAAAATGGAAATTAATTATGCTTTGGAATTAAATTTTAAAGTTTCCATCATATGCGCGCCTATTTTATCTTCGTAGCAGAGAAATTTCATCATCGATCAACCGCGTAGCTAATTGCGCTAATGAGATAAAGATAATAATCTCCCTTGCCATATTTGCCACTGCTTTTAAAATAAGAAGAAGGAGGAAAATTATGAAAATTAATCGAACCTGACAAAATGCGCCCCGAGAAAGAGCCGGTCTTGCTGCCGATTGAATTTATAAACCGTTAATTACATGATGCAGTAAATCAATTACCAGAGGCTGATTTTATTTTCGCTTGAGTTTAAGCAGCAGAAAAGGGGCAACATTTTCGCGCAGCCAACGAAAAAACGTCTCTCTCTTGCATGTTTAATTTGCAGCATAAAAAAGTGATGCTGCTCTCCAGCTTGAAATTTAATATTCAACAGTTTTGATTGGACATAAAGATATTCCACTCAAGTACAACACGGCAAGAAACGTCTCCAGTATAATAATGAGCGCCCGGTGCTGCTGCGAGATTTTATTATCCACGCCAGCTTTTCTGCGAGATATTTATTTTGCCGAAGAAAAAAACCAAAGCAGAGAGAGAAGAAACACTTCTCTCCTTTTTCTTTTTCGCATCACGCGGGGCGAATAAATAAAAATAAAATGCACACGTGTGCCCGCTATTTTCTTTATACGAGCAGACGCTTTTGGAATTAATTTGTCGCCCGCTTATTTAGAGATTTTTTCAATTATACGAACGGCTAAATGAGGCGAGCGGCAGATGAAGTTTGGTGCAAATGTCGCATGGCGAAAGTCGTAATGAGGCCTCGACGCGCCACAAAAACACACATTCTAATTAATCCCGCGGCGCTCAGCCGCCGGCGTTTGCATGCGGCGCAAAAAAAACTTAGGAAAGAGGAACTATTCAGCGTATTTACCGCACACTGCGCGACACGATATATTTCAACAGGGGGCCCTTGATTCTGGACCGCTTCCAAACACAACACTCGACTGAGGGTGACACTCGAGTGGCAAGAGATACACAATTAGCCTGTCACTCAGACGAGCGGTTGATAAATTTTTCAAATGAGCTCTCGCTGCTTCTTTCGTCGCCACAGCAGCATGTGAGGCACACGAATTCTCGGAAACAAAGAGTCTCAAGTGGCTTTGATTTGGCACCAAATCTTTAAATACTTGAATTAAAAATTAAATCATGCAGCTTGCGTTTGTTTTGAAAGTTAAAATTATAGACTAGATAAACGGGTGATAATAGAAATAATTAATTTAAAACAGTCTTAAATCAAAGATCAATTTAATATTTCATTAAACAAATATATAATCCAGTAAATTGTTACGATTGTCACTTAAATTAACGTTGCAATTGGTACAATTCGGCTACTAAAAATTAATTTTCATTAACCATTGTGACACTTTCCTGTGGTTGAATCACATTGTAAACTATTTATTAACATTAATTTTATGATTTTCAGTGCAATTCTTTTATTCTCTCACAGCAGGTCAAGATTATTGATAATAGTAATAATAATAATAATTTAAAAATAATAATTATTTTAATTGTATAAAAATAAAATATTTCATAATTTAAAAATTCAAAATAAAATCAAATAAACCCCACTCATAAATAAATTTAAATATAAATTAATAAAATATTAAGGAAATGAAGAAAACGGGCTTTTTACTCGTTGCAGAAAATTGTTTTTTATTCAAAAGCAAATGGCTCAATTTTGAATAAAAAAAAAACAGTTTTTTGCACCGAGGAAAAAGCCCGATCTCTTCATTTCCATGATCATCTCCTTCGAATGTCAAACTTCTTCAAACAAATAATTATTAATGTACTTCAAATTTCCTTTATAATAAAAATTTCAAAAGAGTTCTCTCTGTTTCTTTGCGTAATGAGCAAGGCAAGCACACGACATCTCAAAAACAAAGATACTCGAAATGCTTTAATTTGGCACCAAGTCTTTAAATTTATACTTATATGAAATATTAAATCAAGCAATCGGCGATTGTTTGAAAGTTAAAATTAAAGATGAGAAATAGAGTGATGCTCAAAATAATTTCATTAAAATCTCAGAACATGTTCCCAGCTTAAATTATCAAGATAAAATTGCATTTAACATCTTCAATAATTATTGCTATTAAAGAAATTCCGATAAATTAACTAAAGTTCATTTCCAAACGAAAAATATTTTTTTAATAACTTCAATTTTTTATCAGAATTGGAATTTGGCAGGAGTCACAATTTTTAGGATAATGTAAATAAAACAGACGAATCAGCTATCAGCTTTTAGAAATGTCTGCATGTCTTATTTCTAAATAATACAAAGGTTTAGCAGTGTGAAAATATAAATCGTTTATCTCCCTGCTCTTGCAGAACGTGAGATCGGTCAGCTGCGATCGTGACCTCAGGTCGTTTATCACTTTGCGCCTGGAGTGAATTTAGGCCCTCTGTGTATTAATTTTTAATGAACCGCTAGACCACTTCTTTTTTGATGATTTTTTCCATCCCAGTGTGTGGGAAAAAGAAAACGTTCAATTTATTTTGCTTTATCTATAAAAAAAAACGTTTTATTGAAGTACATTGAAGAGCACCTTTATTTGCGCGGCGTGCGCCACTCGATCGTGAATAAAGAGCATCATATTTGGGATCAGTTATATACTGGGCTTGTCGTCTCTGTTGTAAGTTGTGTTGTTGCCTAATCACATTTTTGTTGCGATCATACAATGCGATGGCAATTCGAGCCATATGGATCGGCAGACACAAAAGATTCTCCCTGCACGCCTGCAGCAGGACGCGGAGTACAAATTGTATCCCAGAGGGCTATAAACCAGCAGGAGAGAGAGAGAGAGAGAGAGAGAGAGAGAGAGAGAGAGAGAGAGCTCGTGCAAAACGAGAGGAGGATATTATATTTGTGCGGCAGCTCGGCATCCAGCCACCCTAAAGTTCGAGAGCCAGTTTCTGATCCACCGGGATCGTATTTCTTGGAAAACGGCCCCTTGCACTTTTGTTGCAGTAAAATGTGAATTTAAGTTCCAAACTAAATTTGCCAAGTTTGTAGAAAAATAGAGGTGAAAACTTTGGAGCTGCGCGGTTTGAAAACTTTTCATGTCCCGATGCAAAATAAACTAAATGAGCTATATTTGTAATTAATTTAATTTATGAGTTGCTTATCTTTTATTAAATAATGCAAATAATGTTGCTAAAAAGGTAGAAAAATTATCTCTTTTAAGGTATCTTTTACGTAATTATTTTATTTCTAAATTTAACGCCACATGCGTTAATTTTTACACAGAAATTTGATATGCTGTTGCTTTAAGATACCATAAACTTTATCCTTTTCCTTAATTTAAAAAAAGTTTTTAAAACAGATATTAATTATATAAGAATTTTAATTATAGATTTTGTCCTGGAAGCTATTTACGCTCAATAAAATTATTTCTTATCAGTTCTAATTCTCTAGATTTCTATACACATTTAATATATTATGTCATGCTTTAGTTTTTGCGCAGAAAATTTATTTTATAACAGTGTCTCTTTCTGCACACACCAGCATGAAAATATTTGTTTAAAATGGTGATGTGTTTTTAGTGGAATATTTTGTCCAGGAAGTTTTAAAATGTTGCATCTAACATTATATTGCATCTATTCTTTTATATTTCAATACACCACAAGCGAAAGTTTTTACGCAGAGAATAAAATCATAAAGAGCAATGATAATCGAATAAAACCATGTGTGTGTACTTCCTGCTCTCAGCTGTCAGTCTGCGAAGTGTTGGTTGAAAGATAAATAATCGGGCGTGACAATTATGCACCCATTATTTCATGATTCACACCGATGGGTCTGTGCCTGGGAATGTGTGCAAATGTTTGCAGTGCGTGTTGCGGTGCGCTAAGTGCTGCTTATATTTATTACATCGAACAAACGCATGCACGCTGTGAACTGGTCAAATATTGATAAAAACACGCTGCGGGGGTTGAATAGTGTGTATAAGTGAGTGAAAGAGAGGGATGCTGCAAGAGGGTGCAGTTCAGTGCAGGGGTGATCAGCGCTAATGCACTCTGCGCTAGTGCCACCAGACACCCCTTTTAACGTGTAAACTAATAACACCCTCGACGCGACGAGCGGCGCGACTCAAAGGAAACACACTCTCGTCTCTGTCTATGAGCTTTTCTACGAAACATGAGCGCAAATAAACGCTTTAAATTGCTTATTTCTTATTTAGCTCCCCATTTTTATTTATAAACTCTTTTTTTAGTCAGGCCAAGACAAATTAAGTGTCTCATCGGCCTGTGCCCATTTTTGAGCTTGCGCGCGGAAGGCAAGCTCCAATCTAAAAATATTTGGGTATTTCTATTATTTTATTAATTTATTTTATTTTAATCAATTATTGAGAATATTTATCATTTAACATCAATTCGACAAGAGCTTTTTGGTCTAAACGTCAACATAGGTCGTGGTTTTGTTGATGGAGTTGCTTACGGAATGAGAGATAATTTTTTTTAGAAATTGTTTAGTTTACGTTGATTCGAAATAAATCATATTTATTTGAGAACATGCGTTTAAAAGGATAAACGCGAAAAATAATAAATTAGACCCTATCGCGACATATTTTGTATAGCAGGCAAATAAGTTTATGATTTATAATTATCTTACAATTAATGATAGAACACCGTCTTTTCGAGATCACAGAGGCACAAATAGTTTTATAATTCCTTATAATCGTACTCTAGTTCTCACACAAAATATTCATCTAAATATTCTTTGCATGTCTGATTAAAAATATGAAACATTATATAAACAACAATCTCAGAATTTTTGTAAATTCCAACAATGCAAATAAAAATTAATTTCAAAATAATAAGAATTAATAAATATAATGGATAAATGACATAAAATATAATATATGGATTTTGTTGATAAATTGTTAAATTAAAAATTAGTTATATTTTGATGCACATTAATCTTATTTAATAATAACCATTTGTTTTTGTTGTTTTTTTTTGTTTTTAATAAAAAACAAGTTCCTGCGAAACAAGGAAAAAGCCCGATTTATTCATTTACATTAATTTGATTCAAAGTTTAAACACTTTTGAATGCACTTGAGGTGGATTTCATGAAAAATTGAAACCGTTCTGCTGGTACTCTTTTGGGGGTCAGTTATCATTTATTATTTTTCATTTTTTTCTTGCAACAAGGTTCGCCTGGTTTAAATTTTCATTTTATAAAAATTTTCAAAATATCTTTTACAATAATAATAATAATAATATGTAACACAATATATTGTTAACATTTTTCACTAGAAAAAACTTCAGTTTCTATCATGAAACAACTTCAAATATGCAGATAATTTTCATATCTTTTCAGTTCTATGAAGAGGGGTACCCTGGGAAAATCAACGTTATGCAACTTCCAAACACAGCGGATGCTATTGTTGCATAACTTGCACCCATTTATGAATTTTCAATTAAATTTTCCTTTAAGATTTTTTAATGCAAAAAAAAACGAAATTGTACAAATAAGAAATCTTCTTTAAGAGCCCTGTATACTCTCTATCCTTTGGAATGTTTTGTTTTCCCGTGGAATGGCTCTCGTTTGCAAACAAGTTAGTGACACTAAAAGTGCTCGGTGACCTCGGCGAACCGAACAAGATGGCGGAAAAGCTGCTTGCGAGTGGCTTTGGGTCGTTTCGGCTGCTGGATTATTGATCGGCTCCTGCATCTCTGTAGTGCGCAGCACTTGCTCTCTTGCTTGCGTCCAGTAGCAACCGCGTTCGGGATTTTGCAAGCGACTCTCGCCCGCCGCCATATACATACAACGAGCACGCACCACGGTTGGTTTTATGTTGACAATTTTACACACATACACGCGAACGTGCACATACTTGCGCGTTTTCCCCGCCGCCATGATTGCATGTGTGTCACCCGGCGTCATAAATTAATGATCAAATGGAAAACTGCCTCGACGACGATAAACCTTACCAATAAAATTTCGTTGTAAAAGTTGTACTGAGTGAGAGGTGTGGCAATCACTCTCATTTGAGTTGAGAGTTTAAATAAAATTAGAAAGGAAAAATTCCAAATCAATTTTCTCAAATCATATTTATATGGAAACAATATCTAGCAGGGAGAAGTATATAAAGTGGTTCATTTAAACTTTTGTAAGAAAATTTTTTATTTATATATTTCTAAAATGTTCTTTTAAAAAAAGTTTGAACTTATTTTTTCAAACTAGTTTAATTTTCAAATGCGCTTAACAATGTCTTATTTGAATGACCAAATATCCTTGATTTATTTTAAGAATTTTGATACTTTTTATATTTGTATTATAATTGATTATTATAAAAATTGTTAATATATGGGTTATTTAAATACCTAACTTCTATAGTTCCCTCTTTTAAGGAGGGGCTTCTGCTGTAAAGTTGCCCAATTAATGTTGAACATTAGCTTTGGTTTGCAGAGATTTAATTTCCACATCATTTAATCAATTTTTTCAAAATTGGCCTGATTAAAGATGAAAAAAAAATCACCAAATCACGTCCATACACGAAAAATGAAATCATTACGCATCCCAACTTCAAAATTTACGTCGATCTTATGGGAAACTTTGAAGTAAATTTCATTTTAAATATTTAATTCAAAGAGAAAATTACCAAGCGCAAGGCAGAGGAAATTTTAAAATGTCAACGCAGCGGCAAATAATGAATGTCCCAGTCGGCCGTCTTGCTTCTTTTTTTTGGAAGCGCTGCTGTGTGTGTTGTCATTAGACGCCGTCGTCGTCTCCTCTCCAGAACTCTTTTTCGGTCGCTGTTCGCTTGCTTTTTTTCTCCGCTGATATCAAAGGACGGAATCAAAAGTCACGTTAGCTGCTGCTAGCCGGCTGATTTGTTACTTTTGCTCTGTTGGTGCTTCTTAATTAATGCGCCCATTCCAACCCTGTGCCTGCTTATATTTAGTGCTGCATTATCTCACCGGCCGACCATTAATCTTGGTCTCTTTTCCTCGCCCTCTCGATCACTCTTGATCCCCTCCGCCGCGCACGTCGTCGCAGCTGCGATACATTTTTTCCTCTCCAAATTAATGATTTCGAATTGATTTTAGATAGTTGTGTCTATCGCCAATTAACGAGTGTATGTGTGATTGGTATGTTCGTAGGTGCTCAAGTACTGCGATCACCTCCATGGCAAGTGGTATTTCTCCGAAGTGCGGGCCATCTTTGCCAGGCGCTACCTCCTGCAGAACACGGCCATCGAGATCTTCCTCGCGAGCAGAAGTGAGTACAAAAGTTGACATTTATTTAATGGGTTTTTTAGTTCAAATTTTTCCCAAGTTAGTTTGATAGCTGGAAGCAAAATCTTTTTTTTTTTTAATTGCAACTTCAAAATTATAAAGTTCTCTCCAATCTTGTTCGACCTCCTCTTGCATCTGCATTTTGCCAATATCGCGGAATAAAATTTAAATTACGTGTTGTAGAAAAATTAAAGAAGGTCTTAATGAAGCAATATACCTTTACCTTTGTTTAAAAAAAAAGTGAGAATACTGCCATGGTAAAAAAGAAAATGTAAGGCTATTATAGGAAAATGATAAAGAATCATTTCCTCCGAGTGCGCCTCTTCCTCGCTTATTTTTTGGGCAAGAAGAGACGCTACTCTACAAAAAAAAAAAAAAACATGTCATACAAAATACAACACCTTGTACTATAAATTTTAATCATTCAAAATTTCAAAATTTTTAACAATTTCCTTTTCACAAAAATTAGAAAAATTTTTGATACATGAAAGAACTACTTATGTCAAAAACGATGTAAAAAAAAAAAATATTACTATCTAATTTAGCACAAATTAAAATAAAAAGTTGTATGCATGAATTATTTAAGAATTTTTTTAAAATAATTACATATTGTAATAAAAATATTAAAACGTTTTTTTATTTAATTTTTCAAATTTTTGTTCATTTTTTTTTAAATTTTTTTGTTTCTTATTCTTTATAATTTAATCATAGTTTTATATTAGATAACAAAAAATTTTGTTTCCTGCTGCTGATGAATTTATCTTACAAAAGCAGCCGGATATCATTTAAAGGAGTGTTCACTTCTGCGTTTCATGTACTGTTGAATATTTCATTGATGTGTGGATTAATTACGCCATTTTCTGATCATGCTAATGCATAAAAGGAATTACATTCTATTCACGCAACGATTAAAAAAAACATTAGATCAAATAAGGTGAATTTATGCTGTGCATTGTTAGAATGTTGCTAAAAATTTCAACTTTTGGGCAATGCAAATTGCAATTTTTGTTTGGCCCAACTGACTGTGATTTTTTTTTATAATTTTACATACATTTTATTCAAGAGAGAAAAGCAAATCAATGATTCTTTTTAAAATTAACAAATGAGAATGTACAAACATTTGATTCACAAAATTTTCAACATAGTTGATCTATAACAGTCAGAATATCTATATTTCAGATATTATTTTTTTACCAATTCGTATTATAATAAACGTTATGTAAAATGAATAGTTGATTTCCCCTCAATTCCGTTATTTTCAAATCCGGTTTTAAATAATCCAGTGACACCCTCACGAGGCCCATCCGGGGACGGATTAATTCCGCATCTAGACAAATTTGATTCCGCTCTCGAGGGGCTCGAGGGTGATTACGCGGGGCGAGTTTTGCTCTCCGCGTTTTCCTGCTGCGGCAGAGATTGAGCATCATCCCTGTGCTAGAGAACAAAGAGGGCGACCACCCCACCAATCGAGCACATGTCTATAAATCGTAATCCAACGGCGTGCACACGCATCACGGCCCGTAATGAGAAAACACGCGCGGAGAGAAAGAGAGCAACAATGCGGAGAGACGAACAATGCGTAGAGAACCAAATACTTTATAGACAGTACCGGCGAGGGATCCTTGCGTGGTTTATCTCGCGAACTCAACCTCAAATGACTGGTGTGCAAATAAATTTCTTTTTAAGTAAGGGCCTTGCATTGAAAATTTAACTTTCACAAAATAATTTCTTGTTTATGATAGAATAAATTTCTTAGAATATTTAATTATTTATTATATTTTTTCTCATACGCAGATCCTAAAATACTTTTAATAAAGAAGTTGCTAATTTTAAATGTATTGCCAAAATTTCTAAAATTAAATTATCCGGGCAATGAACCCGATACACTTATATTAAAATAAATGCAAATCTGCCGCAATACTGGATAGGACACCCAGTTACTTTTTAATTGAGAAATATGGCAATAGCTTAGCCAGTGGCTAATCAGTTGTGGTCTGACAGGCTGTTTTTCAATTCAATTCCTGAAAGTGTGAAGCAGTTCTTTTTGAATCAATTTGTCAGGGAATCATTCCTTCCTGGATTAAAATTACGAATAATAATAAAATCACTTTATTTATTTTGGTCTTGGTAAAAGAAATGTTATTTTGGTTAATCCGGCAGGGAAATTTTACTCGGGAGCTCTACAGCGTTGTGCGAATCTTTCTCTCTGCAGCCCCAGTCTCCAGTTTATTGGAGAATCGGACGGCGTCAGACTCGATAAACGGGCGCCGGCGCTCGCGGCGAGTTGAGAGTGCGCATGTAGCGCGAGAAACGCCGCCCTCTGTCGCGCATAAATCATCCTGTTTGCCAGCCGAGTGCACAAACTGGAATTATTTGCCATTTCTCTCGAGACTCGGCCCGCCACCTCCCCTTTTAATTTCGACCTTTCCAATTATGCCCTTGCAAAATATAACGTGCAGATCTGCACACGTGTTTAAATTTTTTTAGTGATAAAGCAAGTTGGATCCAGTTGGATCCATCACAAAAATCAGAATTAAAATGCATAGATCATTTAAATAAACATAGAAATTATTCAAAGATTACCAATTAAATCTCTCCTTATATCATTCTCGCTCTCTCCTATTCCTTTGTTGTTAATATGTCATATGTTAATTTTTGATTAAAATAATAAAATAATTATGTCATTATTTAAGAAAGGTTTGAAGCAACTTAAACACTGCATTGATAATATTTATTTCTCTATTTCAAGATTTAATGTTTGGGCTGCCATAAGGGACAAAATTTGGCATTTAATGAACTTAATTTACAGAAAAATTTCTTTCTTCCCTATCAGAAATAAAAAATTAATTAATTTTTATTGATGGGTTTTGTTACCCGATGGGCCATTGATTTTTTTTTTCAATTTTTATAGCCAAAGGTACAGAAATCTGTAATATTTTCATTGTTCGTATCAAAATTCACTAAAATTTTGAGACTGGTTTTCTGAAATTTTCAATCCACACTTTATAACTCATTTCCACGCTTAAGGGAAAGACGAGACGCTACTCCAATTGATACATATTGTGCAAAATGCACACTCACACACGAAATGCTAAATTTAAAATTTTTTCAGCTTTCAAAATTTTAAACGATATTCCTTTCTAATAATGAAATTTTTAATACTAATTAATTAAATTTGCCAAAGAAAAAGAAGTAGTGTCCTACTATTTTTTTTTTTTTATAATAACTAGTTGCAAAAAATAATAAGAGGATTTAAGTAATTTTTCTTTTTTTAATAATTATATATTTTTATTATAAATTTTTTTAAAATTTACCTAAGTTCTCTAAATTTATTTATTTAAATATATTATGGTTTCGTGTTTATTATAGAAATTAAATTAAATCTTTTTTTACATAAAATTAATATAAATTTTCTTTCGCGGTTATGTATTACAAAATGTCCAGCAGAAAAATTTGCATATTTTGAGAAATATTTGTTTTTATATTGTTGATATCTTAATGTGATAATTGTATTATTCCACTAACTGACCATGCTAAAGCATGAGAAAAATTATATAATAACACTAAAGATAAAAAAAAAAACAGTAACCAAATATAGTTATAAGATTGGAGCTTGCCTTCTGCAAGCTCAAAAAAAGGGCACAGGCCAATAAGACACTTTGTCATGGCCTGGCCCCAAAGAAAAAAATCAATACATTAATGCAACGCTTTAAAAACAAATATAAAAATAATATCTAACAATCCTTTCATATACTTTTAAGTTGTCATGCATGCATTGTTAAAATTTTGACAAAAATGGTAACATTTGGATGATACAAATTTCAAATTTTTTTTGACCCTTTAATTATGTTTTCTGTATGTTTTACTTTAAAATTGTATGAATCAATGATGGCATGTTTCATATAATGTAAATTATGTCTGCATTAAATTTATAACATGATTAATGCAAAACAGTGAACAGAAGATTGCATTTAAAACACTTGTGCTATATATAACAAGATGAATCATTAATTTACATTTGCTAATTCAACATTATTTTATGACTCTCTTGCACGCTTAATTAGGGCAAGAAGACATGCTACTTCACACAAAACATTTCATGCAACAAGCAAACTCACTATTTGTAATTATAAATTTTATTATTTCGCAGCTTTGAAAAAGTTTAAAGGTGGAAGCATTATTAGATAAATATTATTTCCTTGATCAAACAAACGCCCAATAACTCGAATAACTCAACAGTTTTCCTCGGCGCTGCTGCTGACCGACTCACTCTCGCGCACAATTAGAGTTTATTTTGCAGGCAGCAAGTTATATTGTGTAAGTTGAAATTGATTGTCGTTTTGTGCAAAGGAGTGGCCGTCGTCCGAATAATATACGTAGGAGCGACCGACCCTATAAATTTCCAACTTTTTTCCACCATTTCTTGCTCCGCCATCTGCGCCTTGGAACAATGCAGATGAGAGCAGGCTTGCCGTGGCCGGATGTTAAATTTAAATTATCAACAACTGGCCGCTCCAGCAATAAAAATAATTGTCTTTCCGCGCGGCGTTTGTTTTTGTCTGCGCTTTTTTCGTATTATATTATTGGTCCCCTTTTATACGCACCGAATGCACGATTTATGGCCGTGCTGGAGAATGAATTTCAATGAGGGCAGAGCAAGGGAGGATCTTTGTTTCCAGCCTTTGTCTTGCTGCTGCTGCTGTGAAATTAGTTTGTTATGAATTTCGGCGCACATATACAAAAAACTACAAAATAAAGAAACCAGTCCGATTCGAGATAATCGGCCGGCCCGCGTGAGAATTATGAGAAATGCTTTATAGCCCGGACCGAACGACGGAATTAAACAATGGAATGGGAAAAAATTGCTTGATGACTTAGTCTATGGTGAACGCGCGGTGACGTGCAGTGAATAATGGTCCTCGCGGCATAACTCTCTGCCAGCGCAGCAGAGAAGGGAAGCCGCGGCCGGTCACGTGCAATATTTTACTTTTCTCGGAAATCAAGTCGCAAAATATGAGACAGGCCTGCAGAGGAAATTGCAGACGTGCCGCCAATTATTTTTAATGAAGTGATACAACTCGCACTGAGCACAGACTCGACCTGATCAACGCGACGAGGCCCAAATTGCTTAATTACAATACAAGTCGGTTCGGTGAATTATTTTTTCATCACGCCAAAAACGTCTTCATTAATATTTATATTTTTTTATTAATTTATTTCAGTTTCTATATATTAAATAAAAATAAATTTTTCAAATTTCATATTCAAACTTTTATAGCTTTAAAACGCTTCACCATTCTGATCAGAATTATTACAAATATTAAATTGTTTTAAATATTTCTAAGTATAATTTTCAAATTAGTGTATAATGGAAAGCTGTGAACATGATTTTTTTTTCCTAAATATTTTTGTTAACTTAAGGAAACTTTTTAAATCAATTTCGGTTCTACTATTTGTCAAAATAATTTAATAGAGTTTCAGGAAGCAGTCGAATCATGTAGAGAAGGATATTGTTTATTTCTTCAATAATCGACTCGCAAAACTCATCGAGGAAAAGCCAATATTAAATTCAAATCATCAAAACTTGACTTGCTTTCAAATAAATTTGCACATTATACCAGTGGGCACCTGTTCAACAGACTCTGCCAATTATTCCTAAATATTTCTGTTCATTGATGTCATCGCCATCGACGTATTTCGCTCCCAGCACCTGCCGCCTTGCTTTTTTCTGGTTGACAAAAAAAAAGAGTTGCTCACCGAAAAGATCGTTTCCCTGCGCTGACCAACGACCCTCTCTCTGCGTGTTTACATTTTTTGGATTTACAAGAAATATTTATATGTGTGAGCGGCCATTTCGAAAATGATCCGATGTTTTGAGTTTTATAATTCGTCTCGGGGCGCGTAGAGAAGTTTATGTTGACACGTAAAATACAGCTGTAGCCATTAAATCGGGATAAGTGATGAGAGGGACCTGCGGAGTTGGAGAGAGAGAGAGAGTGACTCACCGTGCGCGCATAATCACTTGTAAATATTATCAAATTTAGAACTTTTACGAGCGCTGACGACTTTTAATATGCTCCCCAGCAGAGTGCAATAGGATCCTGGCTGGAATTAACAAGCGCAGGGGGCAACGGTGGAGATAAACATTTAATAAATTGTCATAGGAGAGAAACTAACAGAAAATTTCCTTAAAGCAATAATTTTTAAAAAATATCTTATCAGCACATCTTTTTTTTAGAAATTCATCAGAATTACCATATTTTAATGAAATTTTCTTCTGTACCAAAGGTTAAATTAATTTAAATTTTAAGCAATATTTCGGATCATTTTATTTTATTAGCTCTTATAAAGAACTTTATGCGTATTATTAGCCAATAATTATTAATAAAAATTAATCTTCTCTGGCCCAAAAAAAAATTTCTAATGTCTCTTATATAGCCTATTTTGTCTTTTTTATAAACATCTTGGTAAATATCGCTCTATTTTGTTGCAGCGTCGATCATGTTTGCCTTCTCTGACCAAACCACTGTGAAAAAGGTGATCAAGGCGTTGCCCAGAGTCGGCGTTGGAATCAAATATGGCATTCCGCAGACCAGGTGAGTTGCCAAAATGTCTTCGGCTGTGCATGCTTTTTCCTTGCTATATTTATAAAATCTTTTGTGTGTGTTTTGATGATGCCAAATGCCAGAATAAAAAGCAAGAAAGCTTTTGTTTTTACATCACGAATAGAATTAATTAATTTGAGAAAACTAAAGAATGTTAATTAATCATTACTCGTTTTTACTTTATAAAGCATTGAAAATTAATTTAACCTTTTGAATAAAAACAGGAGATTTGATTGCGTGTGAAAATTTCTTGCAAAGTAAATAATTAAAAAAAAAATTAAAAATTACCTAAGAAAAAAATAAGAGCTTGTCTTCTGCAAGCTAATGGCACAGGCCGATAAGACACTCTGTCTTGGCCTGACCAAAAAAAATAAAAAATAAATAAATAAAAATTAAAAAGCATCAAAAATTTTTGCTAAACTAGAACTATAGTAAATTATTTTATTGCTGCAATTAAATTTTCCAGATGATTTGATTAATCCTTTCATCTCACAGGCGTGCATCTATGATGTCCCCTCGGCAACTGATGCGATCCTCCAACATGACACAGAAATGGCAGCGGCGGGAAATCTCCAATTTTGAGTACCTCATGTTCCTCAACACCATTGCCGGTGAGTTTGTACCTGAAAATTACGGCGACTCCCGGCCATTATTCTCATTTCTCGGAAAAATTAAGCACCCACTCGCGATTAAAGTGTCTCGCAAATAATCGAGAATCGCAAGAAAGAACGCGCCATCCGGTAATTGTTCGTTGGTTCGTTTGGCGCTCGGGGCATAATAAATATTGCGCTCTGTGTTTTGTTTTATATTTCCGCCGCAGAAAATAATGTTTAGCGGCTCGTTTGCGGTGCTGTTGAGCGCGCGGCGCTGTTTCTTTTTGTTTTTGCTGATGAATTGCGCTGACCAGCGATGTCACTCGGCATCCATTGTGATGCCAGTCCTGCTCTCCACTTGAATAAGCAGCGCCGTGGACGCACTGAGAAAGGGCCTCTCGCCTCAGTGACACGCCGATCTGTCACTCTTTAGCCTCATATTCGAGCAGTGCGTGTAAACTTTGCTGATATGCGCCGCATCTTTGTCGGCGGCCCGCGGCCACACTAAATCATCCGCTTTTTGCCACAGGAATTTATTTATCGTTAGCGGCTTATCTCAAATCGCAAGCGGCGACACGTGGACGTTTCAAACGCTGCAAATTTATGAATTTCGGCTTTTTATTTTTGTCCCTCTAGAGATGGATAGTTCAATCAAGAGTAATTCTTTATAGAAACAACCATAATATAAATTGGTTAGTTTCATTGAATGAATTAAAAATAAAACAAATCTTAAAATAAAAAATAATTGAAAAGGCAACAATTTTCATGAATATTTAAATCACGGGCCAAAAGAAAGAAAAAATGGAATGCCTGGTTTTCATTTTTTCTGCAATCCACCTTAAGTGTTGTGTTATTTAACTTTCAATTTAAAAATTAATAAGTTTTCAATAAAAAATATATTATTGGGATAATAATTATTATTTATTCTTCACAAATCAACTCACAATAGAGAAAAACAAAAAATTTTGTATATAATTGTGAAGAAACGGCAGCACCTCTGGCAATCAAGTTTTGCTTTCAAACTTTATTGAAATTTTGAACTAAAAATAAAATTTAACCTGACAGAAGATGCAACTGTTTAGTAAAACAGACAAAACCTATACAAAAGGTTAATTTCTATATTTAAAATAAAATATCCTACGCGTTGGTAGTTTTTAAACTTTCTGTAAGTAATCCGCGCGGATTCTTTGAATTTTTCCTGAGGCAATTAAAAGAAACCGCGCGGATTACTCACAGAAAGTTTAAATTTAATTTCTTACTAAACTTGATAAGATCCCATGATTGTTCTGCCCAGGTTCTGCCTAAGTTTGAATCGCTGAAAGCAAAAGTTAGGCTAAAAAAATGATAAAAAAAATTTTTTCACCCCAAGATTCTGTTTTGATTCAAATTACTTGCTTAATAATTTGGATAATCAATAATTATTAATTAATTAAATAATTTGTAACATAATATGCTTTTTCTATTATCAAACTTTATTTTAAATAAAAAAAATTATTATTTGACTTTTTTAATTTTAAATGTTGCTCTCAATGTTTCTAACAATGTTTTTGACCAATTATTAGTGCTTCATAATTACACTTGAGACTTTTCTTTTCATCATATTTTTTTACATTTAAGAGCTGAATTGCGATGATTCAAGTGAAAAGTCCCGAGTTGTTTTTACGCGGGAGAGAGTGTTTGTCGTCCTCCCACAAGGTCTCTTTCTCTCATTTCTCGAGGCAGCCGGGCGGAAGGGCTTGATATATGGACTGGGGATGCGCATTAGTGGCAGCCAGCGGGGTATGTCGTCTCTACTTAGGCACCGTTTCAATCACAATGTCTCCTGAGGGATCGGCTTTGCCGCTCTCTCTCTCTCCATCTCGCGTCGCGCACAAATAAAACCTCTCCGCTAAAATTTCGTAGAAAAGAGAGCAGAAGGCGAGCTTCGTTTCTCAGTTGATTTTGTATATAAAAATGCTGAATATTCTTTCTGAGAAATCAATGCAGTGGCCATCTGCCTTGGCAAAAAATTACCAAGGTGGATTTCCAGTAGGCTCTCCTTTTGATCCTCAGGAATTATTCAACTGTCGATCGTCGTTTTTGCCGCCGCTCGATCGATTTTATTTAGGTTTTTGTTCCTTTGTTTTGTTTTTGCGGTGGACATCAAGAAATCGAAAACAATTTTATTGTTGTTGAAAAAACAAACAGTCAAAGTTATGTGCCAAGGGAATCGAAACCAACAGCAGCGTCTTCCGAGAAATGAGGGAATTTGTCACTCTCATTAGTCTCATTTTATTTTTGGATCTATAAAACCGGATTTTCTAAAGAATTCTTTGAATTAACATATATAGAAATAAGATTTACAAATTACAAATAAAAATTTCATGAAATTGTCAACACTGAAATAGGCAAATATAAAAAATACCTTAAATGTAATTATTTAATAAAAAAAATTCCCTCTTTTCTTTCTTTCACACGCTGATTTTGGTTTCTGAGGCGGCGGTATAAATCAAGAGCAAAGTAGACAAGGTGCAGATGCGTTTTGATGCAAAGCAGGACCGAAAGTGGAAGAGGAAAGTGCGTTTGTCGGAAATTTTGACGAGGAATGGCGGTGTGACGTGCCCGAGCAGCTGGGGGCACTTACGATTTACTTTGGAAAAAAGTGCACACGGGCGGCGTCTTCAATGGTGCTACCAGAGAAAAATGTGCGTGTATTTCTTACAGGCTGCGCGCGGCGTCGAGGCGTTTTTCAACTCCTCTTTCATCGTCATTCATCACGCGCCAATAAAAAATAAAAACAACATCATAACAACATTAAGAGCCGATCTGCCGCCGCCAAGCGACCGCCGACCATACGAGCAGACATTAAAAGTCGAATAAATAAAAGCTCTCGAGCAGAGAGTGGCGCTCGCATAAATCATATCACGAAACTCGCTCGCCGCGTTTCATTGAGCAGCGGCAAACCCTTTCTTTTTATTTAATATTTATTGGCTACACGGTTTTAAGTTTTGCTCTTTTCATTTAATGAAATGGCCTTTACAGACGACCAACCGCCGCCACGAGAGCAAAGGTTTTGAAAATATGAAAATTTATTTAATTACATTTCTCATATTTTTGCAAATATTTTACAAAATCTTTTTATATTTAAATTAAAGTTATTATTTTTTTATGTAAAAGATAATAATTTACAATAAATTTTTTTATTTATTCGCAAAGTTTTCTGATGTAATGTAATTTTTTTCATAGCTATATCCCAAATTATATTGTTGTTGAAGTTTAAACCAAACTAGCTCAAAGAGTATTTTAAAATTAACTTCCACTAATCACATCTGTCACCTTTAAATCACGATTTTTAATTTAACTCAAACAACGTGTGCAGCATTTATAAAAGTCTGTTGAAAATTCTCATTTCAAAACTTCAAACGAGAGACCATAGGAAAGAAAAAGTCCGTCCTCGCCCGAAATAGTTCCGCTCCTCCGCTGTGTATGTGTTTGAGTTTTTTTTCATTGGCCCGCGGCAATGTAATTTCAATAAGGTGGAACACAAACACTCGCACTTTATGACACGGCGAGTAAATCAAAGACGCGTCTTCTGACTGAGCCAGCCGCAGCCTGTCTTCATTTATTCAATTGGCGACAGCCATTTAACACATGCTCGAAAAAGAACATTTAAATTTAGCAACACCTCTCTTGCCCGTGAGCAGACACGTGATTAAAGAAGATTAGCAGCTTTTAAATTTGAAGGGCTGCCGCGCGGTGACTTACTCGGTCGCCAAAAAAGTGACAAATTTCCACCGCGGCAGCGACAATCGAGATTTATTGCGCCGAGTGTGAAAGAAACATAACCGAGTGCCGCCTGTGACACCGGGAATTCTCAAATATTTTCATTGTTAATCTCGGCGCGACACTCAATCTTGTAAATCACACTCGAATTAACAGATCTCCACTTTGAAGCTCTTTCTTATTTTTAAATGCGATCTCGATTTGATTCCAGGTCGCACCTACAACGACCTGAACCAGTACCCCGTTTTTCCCTGGGTGCTCACCAACTACGAGTCGGCTGAACTCGACCTCAGCCTGCCTTCCAACTACAGAGACCTGTCCAAGGTACACGAAATAATTATTTTCATTAAAAAATTTTACTTATAATTTTTTTAAATATTAAGTATATAAAATTTATTAAATATTAAGCATTAAAAAATAATTTTATAAATAAAAATAACTTTATTAAACGGCTCTACGCCATTAAGTGTAAAAGAATTCAGATCTAGATCTGGTTTTATATTATTTTTTTCAATGCTCGTTTTCTGTTTTCTTTTATTTTATATTTTTATGTCAGATTTCGTGTTATTTTCTAAACTGATTAAAGAAAACAAAAATATTAAATTAATCTTTTAAAGAATTGCCTCAAATCCTTTGACAAATCCCAAGACAAATTAGACGTGGCGTTTCTCTTTTCCCCTAATTAGCACCTATTTCTGTGTTTCCTTTAATCCCCGAGATTTCTACTGTTTTCTTACTAAACCCCAACGGTGCCTTTGCCTCCTTTGCAGCCGATCGGCGCCCTAAATCCCAGCCGCAGAGCCTACTTTGAAGAGCGCTACGCCAGTTGGGAGCACGACAGTATTCCTCCGTTCCATTACGGAACTCATTACTCGACAGCTGCCTTTGTTCTAAATTGGCTCATCCGAGTGGTGAGTGCAGCAGCGCCTTTTAAAGCTCCCAATTCACTTTTGAAATTCTCACCCCCAATTAGGAGCCGCTGACGACCATGTTCCTGGCGCTGCAGGGTGGAAAGTTTGACTATCCAAACCGAATTTTCCATTCGATAAGCCAGTCGTGGAAAAACTGCCAAAGGGATACTTCAGACGTCAAAGAGCTCATACCTGAATTCTTTTTCCTGCCGGAGATGCTGACCAACTCCAACAACTTCAAGCTCGGTCAACACGAGGATGGCTCATCAGTCAGCGACGTCCAACTGCCACCCTGGGCAAACTCACCTGAGGAATTCATCAGGATCAACAGAATGGTATTTTTTATTAACTTTGTTACGAACCTTGAAATTATTCATTTTTATGCATAACATAAAAAAAATTTGCAATACAAACTGTAAATTAACTAATTCTTTTATTAATTAAATACCATTGGTACACAGACTCATTAAATTTAAAATAAATAATCATTGGTTTAACAACTTTATAACAATATAGCACAATTTTAATTTTTTAAATTAAGTTTTTTGTAATATTTTTATATTTCAGACGAAATAACAAAAATGATTTAGTTAAAATTAAAATCTGTGTCTATTTATTTATTTCATTTTTTTACATTTTAAAATAGAAAACATGGAATCAATTTCTGAAATTCAATTTCAGGCCCTTGAGTCGGAGTTTGTGTCCTGCCAACTTCACCAGTGGATCGATTTGATCTTCGGCTACAAACAACGAGGTAGGCTTATTTGGCATTCTGTCAGAACCCTATATGAAATCAAGCTTTTCGGTGCCGGTCGGGTGGCGGTAGGAAATTAAGACGCTCATTAGAGCGGAATTAGTTGGACAGGCTTCTTATCCCTACAGCAAAGACAAATGTTTGGTTAGAGACAAATTTATTACAAGAGCCCACATGCGTACCAGTCTGAATTTTGCCCCGTTTCCTGCCTCAACTCGCTTACTTACGCTTGTCATCGACAAACTACCCCTCTAAGTTGGCGCACGGGTGGCGCACGACGAATAAAAAATTAATTGGGCCCCGCTCAGCCGTAGGAGGCAAGCAGAACAAAAAACAAAATGAATAGAATCCGACGGTTAAAAAAATATTCTTATAAAAATTATATTTTCGTAAAAATTTGAGTATAAGGCAGGATGTTCTTGTGAGATCGATGGGTGGCGCCTCACCGTGAGAAGCACATGTTGTCCATTAGGCGCCTGGCAAAACTCGGCTAATTGAAGCCAACACTCGGGCCTCATTCAAACTCCGGAGGAAACTAACGTCAGCCTACGCTCGTCGCATTCAATTAACCGTTGGCACCTCATGCTCTTGCGTATATTTTCAGCAACTTTCATCTCTAAGATTTAAATTTAAACTTTTGAACTTATCAAACATGAAAAAGGTGACATGAGTGTTTGTGATTGCTCTTTTTATGTATTTGAATTATAATTCATTTTGAAATTGGAAGTAAGTGTGACGAGTTTTGGCTAGTAAATGAAACGAAAATAAACATTGATGTTGGGTTGGCGAGTGTCGCGAGGAGACGATGAGAACAGACAAGTTTACTGAAGAGAGACGCACACATAGGCAGCCGGAGAAACTTCTTAGTAACAATGGTTGCATAACCTCAAAAACAATGAAATGATTCAAGTTACAAGCAGATTGAAAGATGGGAATTAAATGTTATTTTCAATTATTCAGCTTATAAGTAAATAATTACTCATTTCTCGGTGAGATGCATGAAATCTTAATAATTTTTTTCTTCTGTAGTATAGTGTTTACTAATTAATCTTATTAAATCTTGTTTATTTAACTTTTAATTAAAATATGGCTGTAACTATGAAAATTTAATTCTTGCCGAAAACCAATTTCTTTTGTGGTTATAAACATTTCTATTGTTTTTTTCCAGGGCCTGAAGCTTTGAGAGCCACAAATGTCTTTTACTACCTGACTTACGAAGGCAGCGTTGACTTGGAGTCCATCTCTGATCCCGTGATGAAGGAGGTAAGAATTAAGTTGTTTTAAAAAATCAATAATAATTATAGCACCGCCATATGTTTTTATTCTCTAAAAAGTCTAAAATATCACTCTATTTCTGGCCACATACGTCCCACAGAAAGTAACTCAGCTCCTGAGCTGGTTTGTTGAAGAACTTGTCCCTATTCTTCATCTTGGGCCAGACGTCCTGCTGGCTGGTGCGTTTGATGGTTTGGAGGACGTTGCGGCGCCGGTGGTCGTTGGCCGCCTGCATGACGTGTTCAACGACGTTCTGGTCGCGTTCCGTCTCCAACCAATCGTACTTTGGCAGCGCCCTTTTGACCTCGAGGCTTTTCTTCCTCGGAGCCTCCAACTTGACTGGCGGTTCGTGGACCAAAGGCTGTTTGTAATCACAGTAGTCGCACAATTCGCACACGTCCGTCGTATCCTGGTCGTCTGGCTCAAAGTGCGTCAAAAAGTAGCTGTTCTCCTTCTTCGATGACTTTCTCACCCTGTTGGGGACTAAAACCTCCGATTTGATATCAATCTTTTTTGCCGGGGAGTTTTGTCCCTCTTGCATAATTCTGCCGAAGACATCGCTCAGCCTGTTCTCAGAGCTGAACGACATTTTCTGATTGATCTTGCTCAGGGTCTGCTGTGTTTCGGCCACCTTTGGCAGGGCGTCTTCGATGGACTCAATGCCAAACTCGGAAGTTGCGGCAGTCACCAGCAGATCCAAACAACTGGCTGTTTGCTCCATTAAGGACAAGATTCCAACGAGAAGCTCTTTATACTGGTTCTTTCTGTCTTTTTCTGGTTCTTTTTTAAATTTTAATTTTTGAGGCGATGGTGGGGTTTGCTGCTCCTGTTCTCGGGGGACCTCCACACCCACTGTGATCCTTTCGATGGTCTGGACCGCCATCAGGATGTCCCCCGGACTGACGTCGTCGCCTAGAAAGGCCAGACGGTCGAGAGGTAGTTGAGAACGGTGTAAAAGTAAATGAGCACCACAATCAGTGCAACACTGTCCACAAAACCGACTGGACGGCTCAAGACTCCGTTTTTTTGACTTGTTTCTAAAACAGAGAATCGCGAAGGACTTTTTCAGTAATTGCACTAATTGTTGCGATTTTCAATTTTCATTGCTTGAAATAAGTACCTGTGATTTCTCGAATTGTTTGAATCGTTTGGGCCGACGGCTTGAAGATGTTCAAAGCATTGTCCGAGTTGATGGACATGGTCTCGTCGGACACCTTGAAGACTTCCGAAGGCACTTCCGGGTTAAGCCAATATTCAGGATTTTCCATGTCAAACTCAAAGGAATCCGTCATTGGTGGCGCCTCCTGCTCGTCATCGCTCTTGTCCAGAGTGTCCAGTCCGTCCAGCGAGGGAATTCGCTCATGCTTGCTGGCCATGATGATGTTTGAATCGTTCACGCTCATTTTGCGGAACTCGTCCGTCCAGCCGGGCTCACTGCTTGGCAAATCGTCTAAGTCGCTTTGTTCATCGGCGGACAGAGCGGCCTCGGGCGCCGCAGCCTCGTCTCGCTCTTCGTCCGACATGGAATCACGCCCAAGAATTTCCGCCTCGTCTGCCTCAGGTTCTGACATTTTCAAAATTAAACTCTCCAACAATCCAAGGAATTCAGTTTGCTCAACAATGACGTTTTAACAAACAATCAACAATTAAAAAAATTGATAATAATGAACCATGCTAATTTTCCAATGATTTTTATACTTTTCCTGTTCTTTCAACAGAGCACTTCAATGAAATAAATGCTGAAAAGAAAAATTAAATAAAACAATGTATATATTTGTTTCAGGCGATTGAGAACCAGATTCGCAATTTTGGCCAAACGCCTTCTCAACTTTTGATGGAGCCGCATCCTCCTCGCAGTTCTGCAATGCACTTGGTACAATAATATTTTTTGTGCAATCAAAATTGTACTTCTTACACGCTTTTGTGCAATTTCAGTCTCCAATGATGTTCTCCAGCATCCCAGACGACGTTTGCATGAGTATGAAATTTCTCTCAAATTCGCCGATCTGCCACATCTCAGCCAACACGTATCCGCAACTGCCACTGCCCTCAGTTGTCACTGTGACCGCCAACCAACACTTTGCCGTCAACCGCTGGAATCCAAGTTACGCAGGTATTTGTTTTGACCACAAAAAAGTTAATCATATTTTACTTAATTATTATTTTTTCAGCCTCTGTCCAGTCGCCCAGTTATGCTGAAACGCCTCAGGTCACAGCCACCAACTTGCCGCTTTCCATGGACCCTGTCCTTTGTAAGTTATTAGTTCAATTTAATATAAAATAACACTTTCGTTATTAGTCTGTTGGAATTATAATTGTTTTCCATTATGGATACAAGTTTTAATTTTGGAGGAAAATGTATTTCAAATTAATTAAATTTCATGAATCTTTTTTCCTAAAAAGTAAAAATTATAATGGAAAATATCATTTTTCAGCACAATCTACGAATAGCTCAAGTCCTGCCCTAAAACGCCACCTTGGTGACAACTTTAGCCAGAAAATTCGAATCAGGTCAAACTGTTTTGTAACCACAGTCGACAGCCGATTTTTGGTTGCTTGTGGATTCTGGGACAACAGTTTTAGAGTTTTCTCAACAGAAACAGGTACTTTGCTTGGGTTTTAAGCCTTGCTTTTGTAAACACATTTCTCCAATTTAGCCAAAATCGTGCAAATTATCTACGGTCACTACGGAGTGGTGACCTGCCTGAGCCGATCCGAGTGCAACATCACATCAGACTGCTACATTGCGTCTGGTTCGGCTGATTGCACTGTTCTTTTGTGGCACTGGAACGCACGGACTCAGACCATAGTTGGAGAAGGAGAAATTCCCACCCCCAGGGCCACCTTGACCGGCCACGAGCAACCAGTGCTCAGCGTCGTCATCTCTGCTGAACTGGGCTTGGTTGTCTCTGGGTCAAAGAGTGAGTTTCCGTTCTCTAAAATGCTTGTCTCGTTCTAAAATTTTAAATATATGAATTTATATTATTCTTTCTTTCTTAATTTATAGGTGGCCCTGTTCTGGTGCACACCACTTTTGGTGACCTGCTAAGATCACTGGAGCCCGGGGTGGGCGCGAACTCACCTGAGAACATTGCCATGTCTCGAGAGGGTCTGATTGTGGTCAACTACGAAAAAGGTCATGTGGCTGCCTTCACTGTCAACGGCAAACGACTTCGACAAGAAGCTCACAATGACAACATTCAGGTACAAATTTTATTCCGATAAAAAAATTCATTCAATTTTTGCAAAGTGAAATTAAAAACAATTTAAAACAAAAAATGTAATCGTTCTACGAATTATCCACAACAAGTCCCAAATTTAAAATGATTAACGAAAAAATTTATTCCTTCAGTGCTTACTTTTAAGTCGAGACGGAGAATATTTGATGACTGGCGGCGATAAGGGCATCGTTGAAGTTTGGCGAACCTTCAACCTGGCCCTTTTGTACGCTTTCCCTGCCTGTGACAGCAGTGTCCGCTCACTGGCACTATCCCACGACCAAAAGTAGGTTTTTTTAAATAAATTCCTATCGACTTAATTGATTTTTGTGTAAAGGTTTTTGCTGGCGGGATTGGCAACTGGCTCAATTGTGGTGTTTCACATTGACTTCAACCGTTGGCACCACGAGTTTCAGCAAAGGTACTGAGTCACTCTGTTAGAGCTCAACACACTGGTGGAGTGTTTTCCTTCTCTTCGTTTCCCTAGCAGCAATGGAATAAATTATTGAAAATCGAGAACTCGTTAAAAAAAACAGCAAAAATTATGAATACCAATTTGTAAAATCAGCAGACACCTCGAACTTCCATAAAAGTGTGTGAATAGTAGTGTGTACTTAATGAGGCGTGCAGAATACGTATAATAAATAATTGTACATTCCAAAATCATAAAAAAGAAACAGCAAAAAACAATTTTGTATTGTGAGACAAAAGAAAAAAGTGAAATGAGCAACTAATTGTAAGCAAAAGAGAGTATTTTGTACCAATTTTAATATAACTACCTAATTTTTGTAAGCATTCCAATTCTGTGATTTTGCTTGATACGAAAAATTGTCTTTGCCATATGTACTCTTCAATTTGCAAAAAAAAATCACACACTGTAATGACATGCATCATGGATTTTTAAAATTTTTGACAACTGCCTTTGATGATCATTAATGCAGAATTTTTCTCTCCTCCTCCTAAAGACACACTTCGTGAAATTTTTTTGCTTGGCTCCTAGTCTGACCAAAACGGTTAAAAAATGTAAAAAAAAAATATTAAGATCAGATAAATTTTTGCAACAGTGCGCATAAGTTTTAGAATTTATGAAACAGTTCAAGTAAACACCACGCTGTAAATATAATAATTGTTGAAACAAAATCTTTAGGCTTTATATAGAATTATCACGGCGTAGAAATGGCTTTTAGGAAGAAAAAATATATATAAATACAATAATGTAATGAAATATTTCCTCCTCTAATTTGAAACAAAGTAGACATCAATTGATGTTAAGGATATTCAGCTCTGGTTTACTCACAATTTTGATAATTTATGCAGAGAAAAGTGATTCTCTAGTCATAAAAGAAAGCAGTACTTAAATCTTTTCATTTTGAATATATGTGCAGAGAGTTCGCTGCACTTATAGATTGAAATAAAAAACTGATGGAAAACGGTTGTATGGCGCGCACATTTTTGCTTGATTCCCTCCTATGTGCAAGGTGCTGCTGAATGTACTTAAAAATGTGTCTGTAAAATCAGTATTGTAAAATAAATGTGTGTGTGCCGACTGCCAAATTGCTGAGAATTTAGAAGAAAAAAAATAAATCCGTTCCACTGCTGCTTTAGCTGCGTCAATATATAAATATAAATAACTAAAAAAGTTAAATGCTGCTTTGACACTTGCTAAATCTAATTATTGCACACGCGCATCAAAATACTCTCCTTCCAGTGCACACTACAATTATTACAAGTACTAAAAATGTAAGGGAAAAACGTGTGTGAAAAGTTAATGAGAGAGATGAGTGCAGTATTTTTGTATTGAATTTTCGTCTTGCCGAAGAGTTCATGTTTTGCTGGATGTGCACCTAGCCTTTTCCTTTTGTTGTGACTATCGCAGAGAAGAACCGAAAGAGTCGAGCATAATTATTTGGATTAAAAATGCGTGACGAACTTGAAATGATTCCATTTAAATTGACAAGCACGTGATCTAATAGATTGTTAACTGCTGACTGTTGTTATTGCATTCTTGTTTTACTGAGGCATTTTAATTATTAATATTTATGTTTGTTTTGTGAAAACAGGATAGATTGACTTGCAAACTCTGTTTGTATTTTGCATTCCTGTATATAATTATACACACTGTAATGTTTTTTGGGTTGTGGAGTTTAAAAATTGAAAACAAAATGAATGAAAAGATAGATTTAAAAAAAAAATAATCATATAACTACATTCCAGAGTTGCTTGTAAGTACGTTTTCAAGTTGGTAAAATTAATTTAGGTGTATAATTTGGCAAACTTCACTAGATTTTAAAGGCAGACGCCAGACAGTCTCTGATTCGCGCGCATAAAACTGATAATGTTATCCAAAAAGGAAAAGTTTGGAGATTGAGAAATAAAATCCAAATTAAAAATTCACTCGCAGAAGTTTTATTATTGAACTTAAAAAATAGAAAAATAGCAAAGCTAATGATAGTAATGATGAATTTAAGTTTCCAATGACTCCAATAAACAATCCTACGAAAAGGGTAAGAATTATATGATATCAGAATTACGGAAAACATCCAGATCTCTCTGTGTGTCAAGAATGGCGAGGCGGCAGGATGAAAAAACTGTACTTGAACAAAAACCTGTAGATGTTGTTGTGAATGAATGAAGTATGAAATAAAAGTTAAAATTTTAATTGTACTAGATATTAAACAAGATTCTTTGATTATAATTGTACCCAAAATAATAGCATTATATTAGTTTGATCCGCCAACTCTATTCAAATGAGAGACTTTACAAAAAGTTGTGCTGTATTCCTTTACATTTTAGGTAATGGAGTAATCTCTCATTTCTGAATAACATAGGTCATTGTTTAATAAAAATATTATTAAAAATTAAGAATTATCATTGGAAAGATTGCTAAATATATCTAAGTTAAAAAAATCGTCTACTTATTAATTGCTATAGGAATATGACGTTATATTCATAATTTTTCAAAAGATTCTCCATAGTAAATGTGAAAACTGAAGTCTACTTTGACTGAAAAATCTAAAAAGATCCAAGCAGACCTAAATTAATTGACTATATTTGGTAGAAAGGAATGGTACTGTTAACAATAACTTCACAATTTTCCAAAAAATTCTCCATACAGTGAAAACTTAGGTCTGCTCGCACTGGAAAATCTTCAGTTTTTTTAGATTTTTCAGTCCAGGCAGACCTAAATTATCACATCGATTACAGCGACTAATGAAAAAATTTGTGAAATTAAGGTCAATATTTGGGGATTTATTTTATCAATGGACTATACCTTGTTTGATAAAAAAAATCGTCTAGTCGGTAGAGGAATGATGCTGTTGACGTTAATTTGGCAATTTTTTTAAAACATCTCAGAGACGATGTGAAATTTTAGGTCTGCCTGGACTGGAAAACATTGACCTTATTTTCGCATTTATTTTCAGTTGTCGCCATAGTCGATGTGAAAATTTATGTCTGCCTGGACTGTAAAATCTAAAAAAAAATGAGAATTTCCAGTCCAGGCAGACCTAAAATTTCACATCGTCTAGGGAGATGTTTTAAAAAAATTGCCAAATTAACGTCAACAATAACATTCCTCTACCGACTAGACGATTTTTTTTATCAAACTGGGTATAGTCGATTAATAAAAAATATCCCCCCATATATTGACCTTATTTTCACAAATTTTTTCATTAGTCGCCGTAGTCGTTGTGAAAATTTAGGTCTGCCTGGACTGAAAAATCTCAAACCCTATATGAAATCAAGCTTTTCGGTGCCGGTCGGGTGGCGGTAGGAAATTAAGACGCTCATTAGAGTGGAATTAGTTGGACAGGCTTCTTATCCCTACAGCAAAGACAAATGTTTGGTTAGGGACAAATTTATTACAAGAGCCCACATGCGTGCCAGTCTGAATTTCGCCCCGAATCGTTTCCTGCCTCAACTCGCTTACTTATACTTGTCATCGACTAACTACCCCTCTAAGTTGGCGCACGACGATTAAAAAATTAATTGGACCCCGCTCAGCCGTGGGAGGCGAGCAGAAGAAAAAATGAATATAATGCGATGTTAACAAAAAATATTCTTATGAAAAGCAGATAAAAAGTATATTTTCGTAAAAATTTGAGTATAAGGCAGGATGTTCTTGTGAGATCGATGGGTGGCGCCTCACCGTGAGAAGCACATGTTGTCCATTAGGCGCCTGGCAAAACTCAGCTAATTGAAGCCAACACTCGGGCCTCATTCAAACTCCGGAGGAAGCTAACGTCAGCCTACGCTCGTCGCATTCAATTAACCGTTGGCACCTCATGCTCTTGCGTATATTTTCAGCAACTTTCATCTCTAAGATTTAAATTTAAACTTTTGAACTTGTCAAACACGAAAAGGTGGCATGAATGTTTGTGATTGCTCTTTTTATGTATTTGAATTATAATTCACTTTGAAATTGGAGGCAAGTGAGACGAGTCTTGGCGAGTAGATGAAACGAAAATAAATATTGGTATTCGGTCGGCGAGTGTCGCGCTAGAGAGGAGTTTACTGAAGAGCGACGCACACATAGGCAGCCGGAAAAACTTCTTAGTACCACTGGTTGCATAGTCTCAAAAAATAAATTTCCATCCAATGAAATGATTAAATTATTAAGTTACAAGCAGGTTGAATGATGAAAATTAAATGTAATTTTCAATAATTTAGCTTATAAGCTAATTACTGTAACTACTCGGTTAGATGCATGAAATCTTTGTAGTTCGGTGTTTAATTAATCTTATTAAATCTTGATTATTTAACTCTTAATTAAAATATGGCTATAACTATGAAAATCTAATTTTTGCCATAAAACAATTTCTTTGGTTATAAAAATTTCTATCAATTTTTTTCCAGGGCCAGAAGCTTTGAGAGCCACAAATGTCTTTTACTACCTGACTTACGAAGGCAGCGTTGATTTGGAGTCCATCTCTGATCCCGTGATGAAGGAGGTAAGAATAAACTTGTTTAAAAAAACAACAAAAATTATAACACTGCCTCATATTTTACTCTCTAAAATATCGCTCTATCTCTGGCCACATACGTCCCACAGAAAGTAACTCAGCTCCTGAGCTGGTTTGTTGAAGAACTTGTCCCTATTTTTCGTCCTGGGCCGGACGTCCTGCTGGCTGGTGCGTTTGATGGTTTGGAGGACGTTGCGGCGCCGGTGGTCGTTGGCCGCCTGCATGACGTGTTCAACGACGTTCTGGTCGCGTTCCGTCTCCAACCAATCGTACTTTGGCAGCGCCCTTTTGACCTCGAGGCTTTTCTTCCTCGGAGCCTCCAACTTGACTGGCGGTTCGTGGACCAAAGGCTGTTTGTAATCACAGTAGTCGCACAATTCGCACACGTCCGTCGTATCCTGGTCGTCTGGCTCAAAGTGCGTCAAAAAGTAGCTGTTCTCCTTCTTCGATGACTTTCTCCCCCTGCTGGGGACTAAAACTTCCGATTTGATATCAATCTTTTTTGCTGGGGAGTTTTGTCCCTCTTGCATAATTCTGCTGAAGACGTCGCTCAGCCTGTTCTCAGAGCTGAACGACATTTTCTGATTGATCTTGCTCAGGGTCTCCTGTGTTTTGGCCACCTTTGGCAGGGCGTTTTCGATGAACTCAATGCCGAACTCGGACGTTGCGGCAGTCACCAGCAGGTCCAAACAACTGGCTGTTTGCTCCATTAAGGACAAGATTCCAACAAGAAGCTCTTTATACTGGTTCTTTCCATCTTTTTCTGGTTCTTTTTTTTGGAGCCGGTGTTGGGGTTTTCTGCTCTTGTTCTTGGGGGACTTCCACACCCACTGTGATCCTTTCGATGGTCTGGACCGCCATCAGGATGTCCCCCGGACTGACGTCGTCGCCTAGAAAGGCCAGACGGTCGAGAGGTAGTTGAGAACGGTGTAAAAGTAAATGAGCAGTATGAGCACCACAATCAGTGCAACACTGTCCACAAAACCGACTGGACGGCTCAAGACTCCGTTTTTTGGACTTGTCTCTAAAACAGCCCAGTCAGCAATTTATATTTCACATTATTCAAAATTATACAAAATATTCACCTATATGTTCATATTAATTTTTGCTAAGAAAGTAGGATTTTGGAAGATTCGTAGGTTTAAATAAATATTCCTGAATATTGACAACGGAATATAT